ATGCACTCCCTCAGAGGGCGGGTTCGATTCCGGTCAAGGGTATGTACCTTGGTTGTGGGCACATCCCCAGTGGGGAGTGTGCAGGAGGCAGCTGGTCGATGTTTCTCTCTCATCGATGTTTCTAACTCTCTATCCCTCTCCTTTCCTCTTTGCAAAAAATCAACAAAACATATTTTTTTAAAAAAATGGGTGTTGCATTTTGTCGAATGCTTTTTCTATTGATATGATCATGTGATTTTTGTTTTTCGATCTGTTTATGTGATGTATCATGTTTATTGATTTGTGAATATTGTACCAGCCTTGCATCCCTGGAACAAATCCCACTTGGTCATGATGTATGATTTTTTAAATATATTGCTGGGTTAGATTTGCTAATATTTTGTTGAGGATTTAAGCGTCTATGTTCATCAGGGATATTGGCCTGTAATTCTCTTCTCTGTAGTGTCTTTATCTGGTTTGGGATTAGGGTGATGCTGGCCTTAAAGAAAGAGCTGGGAAGTGTTCCTTCCTCTTGGATGTTCTGGAATAGTCAGGAGGAGAGGTGCTAGTTCCTCTCTGAATGTTTGGGAAACTCCCGTGAAGCCGTTGGGACCCGGGCTTTTGTTTGCTGGGAGCTTTGTGATGAGGGTCTTCTCACCCTCCTTTAAGGGAAAGGGCCACTTTCATGTGCAATACAGAGTGGATTGGCGACCGTCTAGTTGTCTAGTCGAGAGAAGAGATTGCCCAAGGCTGCAAGCCATCCTGCCTTCTTTGGGACTCTCCCCGCTCCCACCCGATCTAAGCATCTAAGAAGGAAGAGCAGACGAGCCCAGACACCCAAACTTAGGAGACGAGAGCAGCCCAGGCCTCAGGGGATGAATTTTTCATGAGACTGAAAAAAATAAAAGAATCCCATAAATGCTCATGTGGGAATCAAATACTTCTGTGCTGTCCGAGTTATAAATATCCCTCTTGAAACCAGGCTATTGTTTGTCAGGACGCGGGGAAGGAAAGCAGCCCTGGGCAGATGCTGCTCACATGCAAGGAAGAGCCCAACTGGGGGCGCGGGCGCTGAGGGGGAGCTAAATGTCAAAGATGGGGGAACCTCCCCACTTCTGATTGGCTGGGAGCCGGCCCCAAACCCAGGAAGCAGGTTGGCAGCTTAAAACTACCACCCTGGATGCCTCAGACGCACCAGGAACTCTCCAGACCCTTCCATGCAAGAAAGGAGGCTGCTCAGGCCATACCTGGAGCTTGCCCGTCTCTCTCTCTCTCTCTCTCTCTCTCTCTCTCTCTCTCTCTCTCTCTCTTTGGAAAGGTGGAAGCCGCTCACGATGAAACAGCAGAATCTCCAGGAGGACGTGGGCAGACAGCTCCTCTCTTCCCTCCCCCAGGCACTGACACGAATGCATGAGATTTAAAAACCCTCCCCCGAGCTCGTGGGTGAGCTGCTGTTCTGGCACCACCAGCCTGGCCGCTCGGGAGCTGCGTGACCTGAGCCAGGGGCGTCCTCCGGGGCCGGGCCACCTGCTCTCGGGGCTGCTGTGATGATCATGGGAGTCGGGGCGCATCGGGCGGCAACCAGGAACCGTGGGTTTTCCGACTGTGGTGGCTGCAACCATCACCTTCATTCCCGTCCTGCAGCCTCTGGAGGGACACGGAATCCACACAGCAGAGCGTGGGCAGGCGCCACGAATGGCCATGCGGGGGGCGCAGGTTCCGCCCTCCTTCCTCTGTGGGCACAGGGCCCAGGGGCACTCTGAGAGGCTCTGGGTCCCATCCGCACCCTCCCCGGAGGAGAGGACTGCCGGCTCCGAGGCTGCCCCCCGCGCCCTGCCCCCCTCCAAGCCTGGAGCTCCAGGCCACTCCAGGAGGCTCAGGCTCTGGGCCCAGGAGGAGCACAGAAAAGGCGATGAGCACCTGACCTGCGGCCCCGCTCAGGTTAAATAGGCAGTTGCCTAGCGTGTCTACACTCAGTCCCTCTCCACCCCACCCTGGGAGATGCATTGTTGTCCCCAATGTACCCATGAAAGAAACGGAAGCCAGGGACTAAGTGACCGGCCCACGTGGCTGGATCTGAACCCCGGAAGCCTGGCATCCACACCTCAGTTCTCAATGACCGCCCGTCACACTGGGTGGTAATTACTGATTTCCGGTTCATCGGCTGCGCGGGCTGGGCCCCACCGGAACCCGGACGCAGGGCGGGCCACACATATGGATGCTGCAGCCCCAGGGCCCAGCTAGTGGTGCTCCAGGGGCATCCGTCCTGGGACAGACAGGCGGCCAGCACCTGCTACCTCTTGTCAATGAAACCACCGGCCCTCCCTGTGATCTCGAGGGAAAACAGCCCGATGGGACGGTGCACGGGAGGAGACACGCGGTGCTGCCATGCCAGTCTCCTTCACTTAATCACAGGCAGACACGAACGCGCTGCCAGTTCCGAATTCAGATGCCAAATCCGGGGCGCTGGAAGCCAGGCGCTCGCCTCCCGGTGCTGGGCCCTCGGGCCAAGGAGGGGCACACCTGGGCCAGGACTGTACCTGGCAGGAGCCCACCCTGAAGGCTGGTCATTCATGGGGGACATGCACCCCCACCCTGTTGGCAATGGACAGATTTCCCCCCAGCTCCCCTCCTGTCCCTGCCCCCTGGCCACCTGTGAGAAGCCTCCAACTCTCCCTGCCCAGAATCCGCGCATCGGCAAGAGGAGGAAGGAGAGGCGGTGTGTGGTCCAGGCCGATGGGGCTAAAGACAATTCCGTGAGCATGCAGCTCAGGCCCGGCCGGCTGGCTCAGCGGATGAGCGTCAACCTGCAAACCAGGAGGTCAGGGTTCGATTCCCGGTCAGGGCACATGCGGGGGGTGCGGGCTCCATCCCCAGTGAGGGGTGTGCAGGAGGCAGCGGATCCATCATTCTCTCTCATTACTGATGTTTCTACCTCTTGCTCCCTCTCCCTCTCTCTCTGAAATCAATAAAAAGATATTTAAAAAATAAAAATAAATAAATAAAAGGGGAGGAGGCAGAAACGAGCTCGGAGGGGCACAACTGCGACCCGTGGCGCCCATCAAGGCGCCCGGCCACCACTCAGGCCTCTGGCACCTGCCACGCTCAGCTTTCCGGGTCCAGCTTCCCTTCCCAACGCCTTTGCACAGGAAGGGGGTGACTGAGGATTCACCTCCCGTCTCCTGCCTGTAGAAGCTGTAGGTCTCGCTCTTTAAAACGCGCTTAAATGTCCCCTTAAAACAGGCGGTGCCTGCCAGTGCCCTGCTGTGGGAGGAAGCCTGGTGATTACCAGGCATCTGTCCCTCAACTCCCAGTCCAGGCCGCTCAGCCAGAGGCACGTGATTCCGCAAACCCGGGAGCAGAGTGAGCTACGGGGGCACCTCCATCCAGGCCCGGACACGCACGTGCCAGGGACTGAACTTCCAGCCAGGGCCGGGCGTGAATATATCGCAGAAGGAAAAAAAAGAAAGAAAGAAAGCAATCCACTTTCATTTGGAATGCTAGGCTGACAGGCAAAATAAAAGGCAGCAATTTTCCTGTCG